ACCCCCAACCAGTCGAGGCAGATGGCCGCCCACCCTGAGCCATGGTTCTGCTCGAGGTTTCTGCCTCTTAAAAGGAAGTTTTTCCTTGCCTGGAATTGTTGGGCTTCTGTAAATAACATGACAGAGTATGGTCTAGACATGCTCTCTTAAAAAAGCGCTGTGAGATAACTGTTGTTGTGATTTGGCGCTATATAAATAAAATTCAATTGAATTAATCACAATTTCCCCTGGGGGATAAATGAAGTTAATATTCCTATTATATTAATAATATTTACATATTATAGAAAAATTATTGTTAATGTTATTAAAAATTAAAGATCAACTTAAGTCATTACTAGTGTTGTGAAATTAATTAATAAATAATAATCGTGACTATAATCGTACCAACAAAATCTGTAATTGTTGCATCCCTACAAGGGATTCGTCTTTGGTGAATCCCCTGTAGGATTCGTCATCTGGGGACTGTGAATGTCAGCACCAATTTTCATGGCAATCCATTCAATAGTTGAGAAATTTCTGTGTGGACCAAAGTGGTGGACTGATAGACAGACAGACCAACCAACATTGCCACACATATAGCCACAATGCTAGTGTAGCTCTACAAATATGGTTATATACAAAATATTTTTTAGTAGTTATATTTTTCTTAATTTTAATATTCCAGAAGTTCACAGAATGTTTTCCGTGAAAATAAGTCTTTTAAATAATTATGATAGCATCAGTTTTTGTTTGTAGTAAAATAAGCCGCTACATATATGTGATCGATACATTTTGCCCTGTATTTGTATTAGCAGCAAAAAAGTGGAACCCATCTGAACCACCATACACAAGGTCAAACAGCCACAGCTGGTATTACAATCATTTGTGGTTTTTATTTCTGCTAATCCTTCTTGTGGACCAATGCTCATGTCCTTTAATCGTAGAATAATGATGATGGTTACATTCTGGGTTAGGTATACCGTAGCCCTCCAGATATCAATAACTTAAAGAGATTCTGCTGCAAAAACAGTAAAGATTAGGAAGAAAGATGTTTGCTGCCATTATGATTCCTGGACTATTGGATTCTCTTCAATGTTTCTGAAAAGTGGCCATTTAAAAAAGGTGGCTACGTGACGGTTTCTCAGTCATTCTCCATATCCTCCTCCTCCTGTAGGGCTGCAATTTTCCCAAGATGCAACATCCTGGTGACAAATGGTTGCTTAAAAAGCAGTTTAAGAGGATTACTGTCTGTGTCTGCGCTGTGTGTGAATATATGAGAGCATGAGAGAGAGAGTGACAGAGAAAAGAGAGGCCAAGTAACATCAGCCCACCCCTACTGATTTATTGTTTGTGGAACTACATGAGGAAAACATTTACTTTGGCGAGTTAGCCAAAGGAAGGGGGAACATGATGGTTTACTTCATCACCTGAAAGTGATGAAGCCCTCTGGAAGCTTGCGACAAAATTTCACGGCAGGAAAAAAACTTTTAAACTGAGTGTGTTTTAGTTACTGTCTAAATATACTGTTTCAATGTTGCCCTACTCAAAGCTCTGGAAGCGTATTTACATTGAGAGGCTCATTGTTTGGAACTCTGTGTAGTTCCTTCCAATGTTATTACTCTTTAAAACAGTGTGGGTGTTTGCCCAGGGCAGAAAACTGACTGACATTTGTTGTTTTGGAGTTGGAGGATAGGTTTTCATTTTCTTGAATGAGTGCCCCATGACGGTCATTAGTTATCACACAGCACCATCTCATATTGATCACTTGGAGTAGTCAGGCTATCTGATACCACCTTGTCTCAGTGGTCAACTATGGAGAGATTCACCATCTCCTCTAGATCAACAGCATAAAAAAAATCTGCACAAAGAACACACATCATGTGTATAGGCCTTTCATGTCAAAACACAGTGTTCAGTATTGACTAACGATGGACACATTTTACCACTTGACGAAGCACAGTATGGACAAAAGCACACACCGAAAAACAGAACTGAAATCCAACTCTTCCCATGTACCCCACACATGGTTAATGTAATTATGAATGTTTGATCTGGATCGTGGGAACTGCTTGCATGCATGATAAATAACAGGTCTGTCCAGTCATTAGAGAGCAGTCGAGTTGTTCGCGTGGGTTGCGCTTGGCAAGTTTTCCCTGAGGTTTGGAAGCTGCCATGGTGTATGTGGTCAGCAGGTCAGACATATCTGGCAGCTCATAGTTCAACTGTTCCACTGTCCGCAGACTCAAAGTGTGTTCTTTAAACAAAAACACTTTTACGAGACAGCCTTCAAATGTAGGGAAAGTTACCACTGGATTCAATCTTAACTGACATGATTTCATACAGACCACAGCTGTGTGACAATGGAAAGCTATTTTACCAACCTGTTTTATTTTCTTTTATTTCTAAATGCATTTTAAGCCAAGAGTCCTTGATACTGACATTTATATTTTAGCTAAAGTGTGTGTACCTAAAATGTGTGTGTGTGTGTGTGTGTGTGTGTGTGTGTGTGTGTGTGTGTGTGTGTGTGTGTGTGTGTGTGTGTGTGTGTGTGTATGTGTATATACTGTGTGCTGGTCTTAACCGGACTTGAGAGTGGTCTTATGACTGATACTGTGTGTTTGTTTTTCCTTGATTAACTTGTGAATACAAGTACAAGCTGTCTCTTCTTAATTACTTAAAGCAAAGAATATCGTTTTTAATATAGTCAGCTAGTTGAAATAGACCTGTGAGTAACCGCGACGTGCATTCAGTTGTCGGCAGCACGGCATTAACGCAACTCTGCACAAGGCCGGTGAATGGCAGGCGAGAGAGAGAGAGAGAGAAAAGGGTCTTCAAAAAGCCTCAGTTTAGATGGAAGTTTACAGTGTAAGTTGAATGAATAGAGACTGCAGCTATTCGAGATGTATTTAACAAACAATTAAACATGTTAAGAGTATAAAATAACTTATAAGTCTTTGGTTTTGTTGTAACACTGATAAATAACTTTTGGAGGGAAGGACAGTAAAAACTGTCTTGGGGCCAGTAAGTTTCAAAAGTTTAACATTGAGCCCTGCATAGGAAAATGACTGCATATTTATTGGCCCTCAATGCTGCTATTGTTGGAGTAATTTACTTGTGCTGTGTAACTCATTAGGATAAGATCAAGTTCTACTTAACTGGAAACTTTTGATGGAAGTCTGTGTGTGCTGTTTAAACTACAGCAAGTGTTAACACTTTCCACATCTGTGAGTACTCGAGGGACTACTAGGGTCAGCGTAACGAAAAATAAAAAGTCAAAGGGTGTACATGTAGGTTGTGTGCGGACATCTTTGATACATCGTTGTCCGCGCGCCCACTAGGGCACCAACCGATCGACCACTCATGTGTGTAACAAGCTACAGTCTATGGTAACGAGTCCGCCAAGCTGACTCCAGAAAGTACTACAAACAGAAGTAGTCCGCATTTGTGGCGTCACTTTTTAACTCCCTTGGTACCCCCCATTTGCATCATTTTTCAACGGTTAGGGCTCCGAGGACATATGTGACAACTTGGGGGTGAGAACGGGTTGCCTAAACACAGATCTCCAGGGATTACACAAGAAAGTAGAATTAACTTACATGCATCAGCAATAAAAAAAAATGTTTGGCAGTTCAATCAAAACAGTTTCATATTGATTGTAGCCAATAAAGCAGCCGATTTGTCACTATAGAGTAATACGGCTGCCAAGGTGTCAAGTAAGCTGCTAAATTGCAACAAAGCTGTCAAGTTGGCAAGTGGAGGCCAGGCTGTGTATGAAAAAAATGAATAAGTGACATTCAAAGGTGCCATCTCGTCTGTTAGATCATGTTCTACTTTGCCACAGAAAAATTACTTTTGTATGTAATAAGTCATTTTCCCCAATCATGTTTCTATTCTAATATGCATCATCATGCGTGTATAGTGGACAGTGAAGGGATTTTTACTTTGGTTTCATGTGTGAAACCTTGAATATAACTGAATACATCGTCTCGAAACAAAAGCTGACTGTTGGAGGACAAAATGCTACTTTCAAAGAATCCTTTAAAACCTACACTGCGACGTTTCATGACACTTGCTGATAGAAAAACCTGTCCAACAATAATAAATTGAGGTGAAAAGAGGAGGGAGCATGGAAAACGTCCTTTGTGACACTGCCGCTCACTCTGGTGAACACGCATTGAAGTGCTCCCTCCCTCTCTGATCTATGGACTGTCAGGATGGATATTTGCTGAAATACGTTATCCCATTTCTGCCACACCAATATGAACTGCCCCTGACACCAGCTGAAGTAAATGGGGAGTTTAAAGAAACCCTTTTCTACTGTATATAATTTAAAGCTTTGGTGAGTAAGCCTAACTAGAAAAGTATGTGAAAGATATCAGTTGGATGACGACGCAGCATTTCCAGCGTTTCCAAAATACATGTTTTGTTGTTTCTGAGGGTTTTTGTGTTGGGAAAGATGATTCATACTGTAGATGGACCAAACAGGATTGTGGTTGAAACCGTGACATTTTGACTCCAATTTAGGTCTGGGATTATTCACAGGAAGGATCCAGTGAAGTTCAGCATGCCGCACAGAAAGGACACATGTGGGTAACCTCAGAGTATAACGTTCTTCAACAACAAGTCTCTCACTTTGTTTGTTTATATGTTCCAGAAGTACGGAGATAATCGAGTGGTTAGCTTCTGCCTCTTGAACCACATATGGACCTCCACTTTCTTCAAACTAAATCGCATCACGGTGTCTCCCCAGTTCACTCTCCCTGAGTAAAGAAAATAAAATTAGCTAAATGTGCAACCAACTTTTTTTTTTTTTTTTTAAGTTGGTATTATTATATTTGGTAATATTGTTGTTTTATGATATGGCCATTAAACAATGGCCCCTGTTTACCACCCTACCCAACCATGGTGGTCAAAAGGTAATACTTCTTGTGTGTACATGTTTATTTACAACAAGTACTAAATATTGAGGAACCCAACACTAAAGTTACATAAACAAAAAGGAAAATGATGACTGCAGACGTCCACTGTGTGCCTGTGCAAGCTTATTTTGCAGCTGAAGACAAGGACAGCCTAGACAACAGACCACCATGGATAACTTGGCGAAAAAGACTGACCTAGAAATGTGCTCCCCTCGCTCAGAGACTACAGTGGAAATGTCCCTCCCATATGCACTCATGCCTCAACTGCTCTGGTCAAGTCCAAGTTGTGGGTAACCGAGTGTGAAATGGCATTGCTGTAATGGAGTATCTGCATTCACCAAACAAACACAGAGGTAAATAAAGTTGTTATCCTTCATCTGTACATGAGAAATGAAGCATATGCATACATGATTCAGTTCGATTACAGCAACTTGTTACATCTCTGTTTTAGTCATCAACAGATTAAACAAAAAAGTTTAGGGTAAACCTGCGGGTGTAACGTCTGGTGATGATTAAATGTGGCATGAAATGTGGGTATTCTACCTCTAAAGCAAATCATTCTTCCTCCTACGAACTGTTGTGGGGTAACGTAAATAGATTGAAGAGGTCTTTGAGAATCCACGACAGCTCCACAAACATTAACATTTTCATTCTCCTCTCATCGCTAACAGCCCCAGGGAGACGCAACCATGCGTATTCTATTAACAAAAGGCACGCCCAGTGCTCCCAAGTCTCAGCCTCGATTCATACACATCCACAAATCCCTTGGCAAAAGCTGTTTGTGTTCACTAGAGCCTGCAAGAGGGACAGAAAGAAAAAAACACACTGAGACAAAGACGGAGAAAGGAGAGAGAGATGTAAGAAAAGCTGAAGAACAAACCTACAGAAAACGTCACTTCTTGCAACATAACACAGCCCTGGCTGCAGACTCCTACCACGCACACAGTTAACTGTAACAAAATCAAAGTACAATAAAATACTATGTTAAAACCTTGTTAAAAGTCAAGGAACAGAAAGGCCAGAGCCAACTAATGTTAATGATCAAGAGGTATAAGGTCTTACACGGCTGCCTGCACACGTTGCAAGGCATATTTAAGTTAGAAATAATCATTATTTACTTCCTGTATTCTCATTGTCTTTTGAATGGTAGCCTCACAGTTTTCTGATCAACTTACAGCAGTAATGTGCGCATTAAAATGGCAAACAAGTGTCCAAATATATCAGTTTTATTAACTTCAATCGCTAGGACACATCTTACTTCAAATCTATCATGTAAAATCCAAATTATTTTGAATGTAAATTAGCTTTTGCCTGGATAATCTATGATTTAGAAACAAAATAGACTAAAATTTAATAGCTGTGCATTTTTTCCTTAATATTTGCAGGTTAATGTCAACTAATAAATCTGAATTGCAACAAATGACAATTTCTGTTTCTTCTCGGCTCAGACCTGGGTGCTGGTCTGAGCCGAGTGGTGAGTGTTTCCAGGGCACAATAGATTTTGGGTGGCATGTCACTTTAAGAAAAGCTTCCCTTTCCGTGCAGTGCAGTCCAGATGACATGTTTTTGACACGATCTTAGACAAGTACACACACACACACACACACACACACACACACACACACCTGCAATGTCACTGTGTAAAATATCTGCAGAGCGGTGACATCATCAATAGAAGGCTTTGAGCCATGAAGAGTGCAGGAGATGTGGTTCATCTGGCTACAGGCAGCACAGGCTGGGATTAAAAAGCCTGGTGCTACCCGGGGCAGGTAAAGCAGAGGACATTGTGAATCCGAATTTTCATACAAGGATATGATAATACAGAAAAATCACCATTGTGCAGTAACTGCCATCCTGCCCTCTCTCAAATAGGTGACTCTGATGCACCGTGTTCATTAACCCGAGAATGAATATTATACTTCACAGAAAGCAAAATATCCCTTGCAATTCAATAGCTTGCTTCTTTGCACACCTTTGCAAGTTCCCTGCAGTCGAGACACATGGACAGCGGGGATCATTTTCTTGTCTGATAGAAAATGAATGCATAGTTAATTTCACAGTAGGTACATGTAGAGCCAAGTAGAATTGCTGATGGAGGGAAGTTGTTTGCCCAGCATGTAGGCAACACATCACTGACATTTGCCTCTATTCATTTGTGCTAGGTCTCGGGCCTGCTGTGAGCTAGACCAGTCAGAATAGCAAAATGGTCACCTTGGTGGGCAAAGTTGAAGAGCCAATCACACTTAAGAGCTGGCTTCTCTCAGGCTGTAATGAAATAGGCATGGTCACATACAAACCATATTTTGAAATGGCCTGGTATATAGTTCAGCACCACAAGATTGGCCTGATTCGATCATTAGGGCCCTGCTATCAGCCTGTCTAGGTTTTGGCTTGCAAGAGCAAATTTATAAACTGTGGGACAGGCAGAAATAGTTTGATGTGTGTTAATGCATTCCCTATAAAAGTGTTAAATGAATGTAGTTTGGTCTTGATCTGTGTATTATATGACCACAAGCAATGTTTTACAGCACACATTTGAGTTAGTTAGAGAATCAGCCCAATAAGTTTTGCTGTTGCTATTTCTGAATCCAACTTTCTTGGACTCCAAGTACTGCACTGGGCTCTGATAGTGAAAGGTGTTTATCATGTAATGGTATCCACAGTGGAGCCACTGCAGGGCGCAGATAGCAAGCTGCTGTTTTCAGATCAGTTCTGTTCCAGCAGTCATAATGGCTGCCGCTATGATTAAAGATTGAGAGAGAGTGTTCTTGGACCTTCATCATTGCGTCTCTCTGGGGCAAGTTAGGACTGAAGTGATTCATCGCTCAAATGACACACAAACGCAATTGTGTTGTTAGGCTTTCTGTATAATTATGTCCTTCCCATATTCCCTGACCTGCGAAGTCCCACTTTTCCTTTGGAGATCTAGAAATAAGTTTTGCCAAGTTTGCATTCGACTGGCTTTTTGGACCCTCAAACAAAACAGTAAAAAATTTTTAAAAAAAAAAACATAAAAACACATCAAAAATGATAAATGAGCTACAACTAACAGAGGGGTTATCTCTCTTTTCTCAGGTTATCTTCAAGAGTTTATGCCACACCCATGCTATGTGACAGCAGAGTGGCTACAGTGAGTATTTTACCCACAATTCCTCTTCTCCTGTGTGCTTTCCCACGTCACCTCAGTGGGGTGGGGCGCCCTCACCTCAACAGAAAGTGGCAACCAAGATGCTAAGAGGTAAATGAAATGCAGCCATATCCTTGTATATCACTGCAAAGGTAGTTGTGACTTGAGACAAGGAAAGACAACACTGACCCCTAGGTGTAGAAAATGTAATAATAACATGAAAAGTAGATTGAGGGTTAAGAGGGAGGAGATGCCTTTCCAGCAAGCAAGTACAGTCTCATACCTGCATAAGCCTTTAATAAGGTACTTCTGTTGCTTAGGTTGTGCAATCAAAGTGTTTAATTAATGCTGATTAATGGTCTTATGGTCTTACCTTACTTGATCACATTTAAATAACAAATATTTGACATTGGCAGCACGACACAAAGAGGAAAAAAGTTTTAAAAAATGATCTCTTAACTTAGACAAGCCAGTTTGGTTATAACTACAGGAAAAACAAACATGGTTTTGGTATGTCTGCAAGTGAAACTGATGAGGAAAATGTAAGAGTGATGAAAGAAGGTGAAAGACAGGCCAGTGACTTTCGGGTATTCTTACATTACCAGAACTAAGGTACAGTTCTCTGTACCTTACATTAATTTAGTCAAGATAACTGAATATAATCAGTGCTCCAAACTGGTCTTAGACAAACATTTCTATCAATGCAAGCAGTGAGTCCATCAGCAGCTCTTGAATCCCCTCTCTTCTTTTCACTGTGTCTCTCACATACAGCTCAACTCGTTGCACCTGGCTATTGCTAATCTGGCTCTAAGCAGCGTGGGCGGCAGTGGGCAATGGTACAAAGGAGCTGCTGGGTGAAAAACTGTGGGGAGACAGGAGTGATTGACGGCTATAATTAGCCTGCTGAAGTTGTGCCGACGGAACGAGGCAGAGGGGAGGAGCCGGGGTGTTCGGAGAGCATCTAGTACACTTTGATACACACAAACTTGCACGTTTTTATGCAAACAAGTGTCACGATGTATGGGCACAGAAATCTGCACTCCTGCAATGCATTGCAATATACGACGGCTGGAAAAAAACACAATGCAAGTAACATCATGTCAATGTGTACGCCACCCACTTTGTGAGGAGGCAAAGGGTTTCCTTTGCTTCTTTCTACTTACATAAATTCTGCCTTCCAAAAAGCATAAAACCATACAGACTGACTAGAATGCAGAAATTCGCAACACAGAAGTTACACTCGCTACAGTCGGTGACATATGCAGAGCTATAGGTTCTAGGCACATTCAGCACAAATAAAAGGCTTGACGTGAAAGCGCAGTACCTAATAATGCAACAGCTCCACCAAAACATGGGGAGAACAATGCACAGCTACAGTGCATATTAAATAGTTTAACCAGAATATGAAACGAGCACTTCCACAGTATAATAAACACATGTATCTTACCATAATGTAGGCCTAGTTAACAAGCTACGAACGAGTTTGCATTTCTCCACAACCTTGTCAATCACATCAGAGTCCAGGTTCATTAGGATCTCCTTCTCTGTCGCCATCAGCACAAGGGCCATTGTCCTGTGACATTCTTCCTCATGTGATGCTTGATCTACTTTAACATGGAGAAACTTTTTCAAATGCCACTTGTGTGCAGGAGAGGGTCAACAAAAATGTGTAGCCTATTTTGTGATGGGCATGAGCTGAACAAGTTTAAGCTGCTGCAAGAGCAAACAGCAGCACAGTGCACAGTTCTTGCACATTTCACATTTTTTGCTCACCAGATCAGTTTCATCTTTCTCCATCTCATCACTGTCCTCTTCCACCATCTCCGAGGCAACAGGTTGTGACAGTCTGTGAAAAAAAATAAATCAATTAATTTCACACAGATTTCTCCCTCAGCCAATAGAGCTGTATTTTCTTTCAGCTTGGTCAGTGATAACCAAAATGATGGTGATAATGTTATAAGCGATCATGCTCAATTTCTGGCTTCTGCCTTCACGCGACCTTTCATCTGGCTAAATAGGCCTCAAAGGGGTTCATGATTGTGTTTATTCAAAGGTACATTTGGGCCTATATGAAATGTATGGGCTGCGTGCATAAATGCATTTTTTTTAAATAATCCAAGACAGAATTACCCTTAGGAAAGCAAAATCCAGGAATAGACCTCATAGTTGTTGTGTTTTTTTTTTTCATACACACAAATGAGCTACTTTTAATATTAAGGTGAGACCAAAGGCATTTTTCTCCTAGGTCTCAAATTCAACTCAGGAGAAACAACCACATATAATCTTTCTTAGGGGACCATGAGATCAGAGAAAAGGCTCAAAGAAATCTCAGCTATGACTCCTAGGATCTCATGATTCTTCTCAAATATGTCTCAGTTTTCTCAAGCAATGACCCATTCTGAGCACACATATAGAGAGGGCAGCCCTTCTGGCATTTGCCCAAATTGGCCAGTCCTAACTGTCTGCAAATGTGCATTCAAATTAGGCCCTCTTAAAGTAACATACGGACCAACCAATTTAATATGTACCTTTTTGTGGAGGTGCTCTACTCTGTCGACTCTGCTGTCACATCTCTAGGTTAATGTGTGAGAGGAGCCACGGCGCGTAGCTTTAATGTAATTTTATGTGAGCTGTGCGCAGTCGACATTAGCTAACAGTGAAGTAACTTCACTGACAAATTAGCTACATGGCTTTATGTGGCCTGTCTCGTCATTGTTTACCACAAGCAGAAACGTAGCTTTGCAACAAGTCCTCACCACTTGCCCTGTCCCCACAATACCTCACAAAGTTAACACTGCATCAACTAACGTTACTTCCCTCAATATGTTAACTAAATTAGCCTGTGCACCTGTCAAATACCTGGCAAGCCACTGAAACGAGTGCCCTGAAACATACAGTAAGCTTGCTTGCTTTGCTATTAACGTCATGTATTGCTTACCTTATTTTATGCTTGCTTTGGCAAGTATAAGTGGCAATAAAAATTTTACATGGTCCCTGCTGTCTCTGTAACGTTAAGCTTTGCACTGCAGAATTTACAGCTGTTTGTTTTCTTGTGGACGTTGTTTTACAGATTCATTTTTATGGTTTAGGTAGCCAATTTGTATGACGAAGATTTTGCTAACATATCCCTGACAGCCACTGGTTCTGTCTCCCGCATTCATTTTCTTGAAGTGCGTGTAAAGGGGCCCGGGGAGGGGTGACAGCCTTTGACAGCAACAAACATTTCAATTTAGCAATCACTCACGCTATTGGTTGCATTTGAAGCATTAAGTTTTACATCCATTCAATTAATTGGCATCCTTATAGTTGTGGTTCTGACAATATGTCTATGGTTTTGACTGGTCTTGCAATAAAATCCTGAGTCCTCTATGTTTGAAACAAAGACCAAGTAGAAAAAGATCTCAGTGTTGTCTCGACTTTAAAAAGGTCAAGTTAGCATTAACAAATTAGAGACTAACTACCAATGTAGAGCATTTTTCTTGCACAAACATTTAATGAAAGAACAAAAAAATTGCAAAACTTATAAATGTTGGTTAGAGATAGGGGAGAGCGGGGTGAGATGAGCCCGTTTTTACTTGAGGTGTCTTTAAAGCGAGGACATGACTAATGTCTCCAACTAAAATATGAGCATATATTTTAGGATGTGGTGCATCCCTGGGAATAATCAATTTGGATCTAAAATAAACTGTTTTCAAAATATGGCTTTCCAAAAAAAGTCTTGGGGGTCCGCAACATCAATGTCATTTTATCGCGCAAACTCAAACGACAGGTCCCAACATTCAATAGCACTTAGACAGTGAAACATTGCAGCTATGTCTCCTAGTTATTTAATATCAATGTATCGCTTTAATATCATCCTGTTTATCGTCATGTCCTGTGCCACCTAATGAATTGACTTCCCGTTCTTGTACCTCTCCTACTGCTCTGTCCAAACCCACAATAGGAGCCTGTCTTCCATCTATAGAAGCATGACATGATGGTTTCAGGTCTAAAATGCATAATGTCACATCATTTCGGTGATGCATAAGAATGCAATGTAAAAATATATTACAATAGCTTGGCTTAAATTACCCCATCCCTGCCATTTTAACAAAATTGTGTCATCCCGCAGTTTAAGGGTGACGTCATGCTAACAGCATAGCCTCATTTTGTAACTTCCTAAAGCACTAACACATGCCTAAGATTTTCTCAAACCTGTCTGTAATTGTTCAGACACAAGAATCACGACTCCTTGAGCATAAAAAAAAAAATCACTCTGAATGGTAAAAAACAATTTTTTGATCTTAAATGTGCTTATAACTTATTCCATGGGCCTCTCTCCATCACAGGGTGAGTAAAATGGATGACTCTGTGGTCACATGACCAATTTAGTCTATGGTTGCCGAGAAACAAGGGGTGGCTCAACTTCCCCCTACACGCCAACATGTGAATAAGAGGAGTAGGCTACTGGCACTTATTTTTTTCCACTTCAAGCACCAATTGGGTCTCGTGAGTAAAATCATGATCATCTGCTTAAGTTTCATAATGATTAGCGCAGTGGTTACAGGCTAAGTCGTTCGGACACAACACAAACTTTTTATATACACAAAGCTGGGCGCACCTCACAGCAACATGCACTGAGCTCTTAAACACAATATCTCTGTAACACCATTAGCACAATTTAAACTTGGGAAAACAGACAAGGCGATAATGGGAAACCCTGACAAGGCCTTGAAGCAGCACAACTTCTGATCACGTTAATGGAAGTTTTGCACCCCGTCTCGCTCCTCTTGGCTCCTTTTATGTGGAATATCATGTCACTGTCAGCGTGGCCATTAAGGCAGAACGAGGGAAAGAGGGGTGCAACTAGCTGCCAAATGGTCCAGAGAAATGAGGATTCCATCAGGCTGACAGACCCCTCGCCGGCTTTCTGAAAAGGTGTCATTTGCTTTAATTTGATTGTTTTTTGGTGGCCAATAAAATTACTTTTATTTAGCCCACCTGCGGATCTTCCCCAGTCTGCCCTTCGGCAAATAGGCTTATGTGTACCTGCATGCAGATCCTTTTAGACCATTTACTATTCAGAGACATGTGAAAGCACTGTATTTATATGCAATGTTCTCAGAGGTATAATGATCATCTACATTATTTGCTTCTGTAGAGAGAAGAATCTCAATAAGCATTTTGTGCACAGATACCCTATTCATTCAATAAAACTTTTATTAATATATCACCAATTCATAACGCACTTGCACTAAATGGTAATTTTGGTATTTTTAACCTAAATCCTACTTTCACATATTTTAATGTTGGATTATACAAAACATTTTGGAATCCATGCAGTAGATGGCTTCAGCTGACATCCGCAAACCGGCTGCAGTGGCTGCAACGTATCCCCTCAGGGCAATTGAGCCTGTCAAAATTACATCCACAAAAAGTGCTTCTTTTTCGCCTCCGACAGGCTCAGACTGTTAAACGGGGTGTCTGACAAACATCATGGAAAAGATCCCTACAAGTGACTCCTGGTGACACCCTTTGTTTTTAACAAGAAACAGGAGTCTTGCTCAAGGATAATTCCTTTTAAGTATACTTTACCTCTCACTTTATACGTCAATGTCTGTTTCAGGTGTTCAGCTTTTAACTTACATCACTATCATATAAAAAGTTTTTTCTGTGTTTTCCCACAAGATGCAACAGTCTTTTTATAGCAACATATTTACAGACACACACACACACACACACACACACACACACCCTGACTGTCAACACCATGGTTTTCAATATTTTAAAAAATGTCAAGAGTGAATGTTGATGTCTTGAAATGTACTGTGGGCAAGTAAAACCTTGCTACGCCAAATGAAATTTTATATCAGTACTCCATATCTTCAATATCAATTCCTTCAGACACGTGCAAGGAAATTGTTCCTTCGAGTAGTGATGACTGGAGTTTATGGGTTCAACAATTCTGAACGACTATCGTAGCTAGCCTACTGTAAAAACCTGCTTTTTTATTCTTGTCTGCTTCAGGATCCACCAAATGGCTTGCAGCAGGTACTAAGTCAGAGTAACAAAATGTGCCGTGATTTAGGACATCTTAGATGTTACAACTGTCAGCACCCTTTTCCTGCACATAGAATCCATAACTACAAACTCTTGGTTTAATAAAGTCTGACTGCTCCCGGCATGCACTATAATTCTGTATGACTCCCTAGCTATAAATGTTAGGGGGGACGTTTTAGAGCACAGTCATAATCTAATGCTGGCCAATTATCACTTCCTGATGTGTGAGGGCAGTTCTTTTAACTTCCATGATAACTCAAATGGCTGTGAATGAGACATTGTGCATGTATTTTGAGACACTTTCACTACTCAAGGGAGATGTTATGGTGTAAATAATCTGGAGTAGCTAGTAGAACGGAAGGCAAAAATGAAACGTAGGTGCAGAAAAAGGATACAACGAGAAATAGAGCAAGTATGACTCTGCTGTGCATGGCAGTGCATTATGGCATTACTGCTGGACTCTAAGTGGAGCACATTTCCACACTCTGTGATTGACAAGTACTCACTCTCTTGAGACCTTGTTGGTACACTCAGGAAATTAGAAAATGAAAACAGATTAGAAAAATGCCACAGGACTGTTTCTCTCCATGGCAGATAAAATGGCCTTGCAGTGTGCCACTACAGTCGCATGTCAACCATATCGACTTCACGCACCTTTCTAAAGCGGCACTGCAATCTCGAAAATACAAACTTTGCTTTCCTGCTGCCGTCCAGCTGTGATGGTTTAGCTTGGTCCGTCTAGCCCGAGGCTTAAAACTGGTGTGTTATTCGTCTTCTTCTGAAAATGTTCACATAAACGTTAAGTTA